GAATGAAATTGGCAGCACATTTTCAAAAGTACGTGTCATAGAGATTGTTAAAAAGTGTGTCTACAAAGATTGTCCTCTGTTTGGGAATAAATTTATAAATGGAGACTGATCTAATTAAACCTTCCGAGTATTGTTGCCGACATCTCAGAATATATAATTTTGATAAGATATGTGTTTTTAAATTTCTTGTAATGAAACAATATTGGAATAAATTAAAATAGCCGGTAAACTTAAAAATAATTATCAGCCAAAGTAGATAAGTATCATCATTATTTGGCAAAGACGGGTGCCCCTGCAACCCGTTAATTCACATTCTGAACGCATCCTTGTGAACCAGAATATTTCCGGATTTTCGAAAACAGCTTAGATTGAAGCCGCTCTTAAAATATTACACAAAAATGAAAATCAAAATAACTTGTAACTTAGGGCCGCTGTTAACTGTCAGATGTTAACTTCATCAGATGCATTGTAAACTGTAGAGAAAGTGTAAATTTCTTTTTCACCCATGTGGATAGTAGTACGTATGGTACCATGAGGTAGTACGTACCATATACGATAACAAAAGGAAAAATAATAACTACAAGAACTACAAATACTAAGAAATATTTATTTATTTCGTAAAAACTGTATGTGACGTATGGAGGAGATCATTTGCGCACGTTTTCTTGAGTTCCAGAATCCCTTCCCAATATTTTAACTACAAACAGTTGAAAGGTGAATAAAAGTTTAAAAAATAAAACAAACAATAAATAATATAATAATGATTATTATTATAAAATTTAGAAAAACGCAAGATCATTAACATTTGAAAAAATTAACATTTTCGTTCCCGAGTTACAGAAAATGTATTTGTACCGCCATTAGTAAACGAACTGCAAATTTGATTTTTTGCATTGCTAATAAAATAGTATCTCATTTCCAGAGAAGAAGAATGAATATTTATTAAGAAATATTAAGATACAAAAACTAACAAATAAATTATGCTAACTCAAATCATCATGACATCACACAAGATAATAACGCCAAGAACTCCTAATCTGATATGAATGATAGAATATAATGAACAGATAATGAATTATTCAAAGGTTCGCGTCGGTCCGCAGTGGTTCCCAGCGTTACTCTCGCACACAGCCCCTTCAATCGCTCTAATATTGCGCGTTCAGCTGATTCTCGGAGTAAATCGTAGAGTATGTACTCTAGAGTACAATGAACCTCTAGAAGCATGGTGAAACGCTTATATTCTACTCGAGAGTTACTATCTTAGAGTAAAAGCTTACTCTCGGGTAAATCTTAAGGCTAAATGCACCGCAAAATACTTGTAAAAAAATTCAATAGATTGCAGTACTATCACAGGGGAATTTACTTTACTGATAACGTCTGAACCAATGGTCCGATTTTGTAAACGGCATTTGATGCCTTTTTAAAACAGAATTAATGCTACGAAGCCCTTTTTCCAAAAATATACCAATAATTCAAATTTGAAATTAGTTCTCGTGAAATTTACGAAAACACCTCACCCCCCTTAGGATATGATCTTAGGAAATGCTTTACGCTAACACTTACGCGACGTAATGTAATCTACACAACTTTCCAGAGGAGATAGAAAATGAGGTTTCTTTCAAAGTGAATTTTTTTTGAAAATCTTAAGAAAGTATATGCTTACATCAACATTTTTAAAATCTTATTTTTCTTCTTTTTCCGAGGGATGACTTTTGCCGATTGACTGAATCACACGGTATTCATGCAATTGTGTTGTTATTTGCACAATCTCGGCTGTCTCCTTTCTTTGATAATGGAATAATTATAGTGCGTTGCAAATATGTTGTTCACTATTTCTTTTCCAGATCACATTGTATAATTGTGTTAGTTTCGCCAAAATTTATTCTCCTGTATCTTTGAATAGTTCGATTTGAATATTATCTACAGCCAGGGACTTCCCATTTTTCAGTGGTTTTGTCGCCCAATGCGTTTCTTCTATCTCTAGTTCTTATTCGTAATCATCTATATTTA